TAATTAGTAGCTTTTATTATTACATATGTTTTTAAAGGAAAAATAAAAGAAGAAAACTTTGGAAGTGAGCATTCAGTCCTGCTTATGAGAGGTAAGATGCTTTTCTTTTCTTTTTTTTTTTCAGAGTCGTCTCAAATATCACCAAACCTAGATATTATGAAGGAGAAAGAAACTAAGGGATTTTTTAGTTTTTTTCAACGCAGCAAGAAAAGGCGTGAGCAAGTAAGTATTTTCTTACGTAGCACTGCCTGAGATCATCCAGGTCTTTAAAAATATCTGCCCGTTTTATCTTGGACACTGCCTTTGTTGCTTTACTAGACTGCCAGTGCTCCTGCAACGCCTCTAATCAATAAGCACCGCCCAACTTTTGTGAGGTCGAGCACCGTCTCCAGGCCGTATGTGTCCAACACCCTGCCTTCGGATGCACCCAAGAAGAGGCGGGCCCCGCTGCCACCCATGCTCACATCGCAGGTTGCACCCCAGGACCTTGAGCAGCCCCAGGACAAGGCAGGCTCTTCTGTCGTGAAGTCTGCAGGTGTGGAGGAAGCTGATGAGGTAGGCCCTGTTGTTTTGTTTGTATGTTTTTAGGATGCAGGGGATTATCTGTTTTTCCTTTGACCTCACTTGTCTTTTTCTGCACAGACTCTGAAGAAAGTAGCAGCTGTAATTAATGATTATGTAGTAAAATGAACAACATTAGCGCTAGAAAGAGATTATGTGTAGCTCTGCCATACAGTGAAGAATAAGCAGCTTCAGAAGCTTTTATTTTTAGGCAAGTAAATGGTCTATAAATCTAGTCTTTGTTTACTAAAGCCCAACAGGGGCCCTTGCGTGGTACACTTGAATACTCACTTTCAGACATTCACTCTCTTTAAACAATAGGGCAGTCTTTATGTTATGTTCATGGGGTCCTTCTCCCTGCACGTATCTTCTTGTCATGCCTCTGAGATTCTCTGGGGAAATCTTGGCATCTCCCTGGTATATTGATAGTCTGTTTTTCAAATGAGCTTTTTAATGAAATAGTACTGTCATTCCCGTGTGTGCTCCTGTGTTAGCTAATCTCCTCCTTGCTGGGACAGACTGCCCAACAACCACAGTGTGCATGAGGAGAGGTTCATTTTGGCTCACAGTTTGAGAGGTCAGTCCATGTTCCCCTGGCTCGAGGGCGGGGCAGCATGCAGGCAGGCAAGGCAACAAAGGCAGGCTCACTGCACAGAGGCACAAAGCAGAGTGAAGGAAGGGACAGGAAAGAGAGAGACTCTTCCAGGCCACAAACTCATGACCCAAGCCTCCCGAGCAGAACCCGCCTCGTAACAGCAAGTCAGGGGGCCTTCCCATTAAATGGGGACCTTCCCAGTAGCTCAGTTGCTTAAATAAAGCAATCAGGATGCTGTGGTTTGATCCCCAGGTCCTCAAGCCTTACCAGACCTGCCCTGAAGGCATCCTGAGCAGATAGAGAGACACACACACTTCTGAACTTAGCAGCAAGTCAGCCATTGAGCCATAAGTAGACCAGTCCAATACTGATTGGCCATGCTGTGATCCATTCATGTCCGAAATAGTAAGACACTGTGGGGACCAGCGAGATAGCTCAGTGATCCAAAGCAGCTGCTTAGGCAAGCTTAGGCAAGTTCAGGGACTGTGGTTCGATCCCTGGCACCACATGCCATGTCATCCCTGCCCCAGGGTGGGCTGAGCTGGTCACAAAGAAAAAAAAGAAAAAGGCACTGGGGTATATCCAGATATAAACCATAATAGCTCCCGTGCTAGGTTCCAAGAATTGTTCGAAGTATACCTTTTCTTCCAAGTTTTGTTAATTATTTCTTGCCTTTAATCTGAACATATCGTTTCACAGGAATCCAATTACAAACTATTTTTTCCCTATCTAGACAATCTATACATCCGTTTAATTTATGTAGAATGTGAATGAGTTTTTATGTAAATGTGATTGTGAGACCATATATTCTGTTGCTGTGTGTAAGAGAGAATGACTTACATGACTTTGAAAACAAATTTTATTTTGAGGTGCTTAAAACAGTGGGGACATTTCTTGTCTCTAACTGGAGGATTCTGTTTCTGTCTTGGAAGTTTAATGCGTTCAGCAGTCAAGCTTACAAACAGCTCCCAAACCTAAAATATGTTTGTGTGTTCTTTAATTTAAAAAAAAAAAAAAAAAATATATATATATATATATATATATATATATATATATATTTTCTGTAGTTTTTAAATGTGGCTTATCAGTTATCATATGTGCCTTTAGAAAGCAGCAATTTGATTAGAAATGAATTTTTAAAATGCTTACCCTAAGTAGTTTCTTGAAAAAAAAATCACCTGTTCAACTGTCTTCTTTCTATTAAGATTTTGTTGTACAATTTAGTGTTTGTAGCATAAAATCCCGTTTTACATCTTATAAATGAGGACGATTGCTTCTAGTGATGGAAGCATCCAGTCTTCTGGGTAGCTGCTTGTTATTAGAGAAAGCTCTAGAGGCAGAGAGGGGCGACTCTGGAGGTCACCCTTAGAATACATGCAGGAGCAGCGCTGTGGTCAGGAGACGCAGGAGTGGAAGGACAGCAGCAGGCCTGGGTGTGGGCAAGAAGCAGACTGAAACCGAGCCAGAGAAACGGGCCAGGGCAGGCCCCAAAGGCTGCATGTCGTACTCGCATACCCTCTCCCTTCCTCATAGTAAACACTGGCATCTTTAGGGTTGTTTTAGATTTTTGATTAGCACTAAAGTACATGATAAGAGTATATAAATGATCACACTACTCTCCAGTAGCTCCCAAAGTATTTTTACTTTGGTATGGAAGTATTTTTAGCCCCACTCACGCGTCTTTATTATAGCTGTCCTCATTCAATCTGTTCCAGTAAACTTCCTTTGTACTTGGACCCCCAAGAGGTCCAGCTTGTCTTTCTGCAAAAAGTCAGCATCTTAAAATTCAGCTTCTAGTGACCTCACTGAAAGCGCTGTCTTTTGATTCTCACCCTGTGCTCCCTGAGTAGTTGGTGCTCCTCTGTTAAGTAATCTTTTTCTTTTTTTTTAGTATGTTGCCTTTGGCAAACTACATGTCTTTATATAATTTTCTAATTATTTTTTCTTCTGATCTGGACATCTGGATCGTCCTTTGATGTATTGTTCAGCAGGTCCCAGAATTATTTATTTTTTGTTACGGAAGCCAAAGAACCATTTTTTTATTCATTACAAAAATTTCCTCCTAATTAAGCTGTGGTTGTATTTGTCAGGGTGAGTGTACACACAAGCACACACATGAGCTTGTGACTTCCTGCGGGTCTTAGCATATTGCGTTGGTGGCCATATTTGATGTGATTCATTAGCTTTTAGTCTTGATTTTTCTCACTTCTTGGTCTTGATATTCTTACATCTCAACCCTGTTGTATTTTTCTTGCTCTACCCTTTCTCCATTTTTTAAGTGGAGGAACTAGAACCCATGATCTTATTTATATTTACTGCACTCTTTAAGAAAGGATGTCTATTTTTTGGTTGATTTCTTGATTATGAATCCCAGCTATAGTGATCTGAATAATGTCCCATAAGGGCTGTGCCCTTGTCCCAGTTCCCAATACCTATAGTTAATGTGATTTTTTTAGAAATAGATTTTATAGATGTAGTTAAGGATCCCTAGAAGAGAACTCGGCTTGGGGTTGAGCCCAAATCCTATGACCAGCATCCTTATGAGAAGAGGAAACACAGGCCTGGAGGCCTGGAGGCACTGGCCAGGTGAAGGTGAAGGCATGGACATGTTCCGCTGCTGAGCCAGGGAGTGCTGGGAGCCCACCAAAGCCCAGAGAGGTCGCGGCATACTACCTAGTGCATTTGGGGGGAGAAGGCTGCCGATGCCTTCCTAGCATGCTTCTGGACTTCAGAGCCATGGAGCAGTAACTTCTGTTGTTGAAGTCATGCAAACATGGTAATTTGTTGTAACAAGCCCAGGATTCTCATATGTTAATTTTGTAATTCCCATCCTAATGCACTTCTTGTTGCAGTTTGAATTCTTGGCTCCTTAGTGACTCATCGCTACCTGGAAATCAGGAAATTTGTGAACCTAGTTCATTTTTTCCTCCCTGAGAAGCTTTGCTAATTTTTTTTTCTTGCTTTTCCTTTGACCACTTTTTTCTTATTTTTTTTCACATCTGCTTAGTAACCAGTTCTTCCCACAGCCTCACTTCCTTGTGTCTTCCATTCCTTCCTGCAGAAATCCGGGCCAGACTAAGGAGAGAACGAGTACTCAACTTGTCTTCAGCGTGCTCTGAGTGTGGCAAACTGCCATGTTTATATTTCTTAATTATTACTTCTCAATTCAGAAACTTTAGTTAGCTGTAATTTTCTAGATCTTAAGTTCCTCTTCAGACTATTATAATTTTACTTTCAAATTTCAATTCCGCTTCAATTTTAGGATGCCTTTACCTGTGGAAGATTTGCCTTATTGTGGAATGACTCGACCCTCTCCTCCATCTCTACCTGTGCATTCTGTTGGCTCGTTCTTTTACTTCTTAAAGGAGAATTTTCTCCAGAATGTAGCACAGAATAAGCTTTCCTTTCTCTGAAGTTACATCTCCCGGACTTTTCCTGTGTACTCTTTTGGCCTCATAGATGCCAGGCGTTCTCGTCTTGGGTCGGCGAATAGCATTAAGTCTGGAGGAGACAAAGCCAGAGAAACAGTTAAGTACACATGTGCCCTGCACAGCTTTTAGCAATGTTTTTCTTAAGCTTTTATAGAAAAGGCAGAGTTAGGAAAAGTAATAGGGAAAACTGGATCAGAAAACAAAACTTTACAGTACATTACATGATGAATATAGGTACAGTTAATGTTCAAATTCATTTGTTTATATGTACATATTCAGGAAATTTAGCAAAACTTATCAGTGTATGGGAAAATTGTCCATGTTTCACTGCTTATCTGTTTTAAATTTAAACTCAAAATACCATTATCACATTAAACATTTTAAATCCTTTAACAGTTTTGTTTTGAACTTGAAACATTAATAAGCCTCTGCCTTAATGATTTAATGCAATAATGTGCTGTGAAAAATATAACTGGAAGAAAAAAAAAATACATGGCCAAATCGGTTCCAAGTACAGGAAGCATTTGGGGGGCGTTTATCCTTTTATTTTTGTCCATGCTGCACAATAAACCACAAGGGGGCGCTGTCTAACAGAAGTACAGCATTCAAATTTTGCCTTTAAAGCATCCTTCAGTAAACAAAAAGAAAATATTAGAAACAACCACATGCTATTAGAAATAGCAAATACTTGTTTTGCTTGTGTGATGTGATAGAAAACATAGCTAGAGAGATAATATCAGTAGTGCATGACAAAGTGATACAGTTTTATTCATTTTGGGCTTTTAAATTTCATGTTCTTTAAAGCAGTTACAAAACTATGTTTGCCTTAGTTAAGGCTTGCTGATTAACTTATCTGTTTCTTGGAAAACACTTTGCCAAACCACATCTCTTACACCTCTTGGCTGCCCACATTTAATAATTTGCCTCATTCCTCTAAGATACTTCTTAGTATTGGCAAATGAAAATAT